CCCTAACCCTACCTACTCCTACTAATAATTACGTCTACTTAGTAGGTCGTAGTCTATACTAGTAGTGTACGAGTAGTCGTTCTTCTACTGCACGTACACCACCTACTCTCTCTCTCTCTCTCTCTCTCTCTCTCTCTCTCTCTCTCACACACACATTTCTATTGAGGGTTTAAATAATATTATACCTAAGAAACCCTAAGGGGCCACAAGGTGGCACACCCTAGCCATTGAGGTGTTGCTTGAGTTTGTGCTTTTGGATCTATGCTTTTCTTTCATCCCATGTTATGCATGCAAGAGGTTTTACTTTGGCTTCCTAAATTACGAGACAAGGATAAGACCAAGATCTTGTGTGCCATTGGTGGAGAAGACCCGTGTGGGGTGTACGAATTCCTTGGGGATAACTTGAGACAAGGTATTCGGTATTTTCTTGTTACATGCTTTCTTAATCTCATTGAAAGTTATATGTAATCTTCATATTCATGTATTGAATACATTTTTGTTTATGGCATGCAAGTGAGAGTCCTAGGCATTACTTTGTTATTTTCTTGAATTAAAAGTTGTATTTGGACATTTGTAAGTGATTTGAGTTGTACAAAGAAAGAAAAGAAAAAATTTAAATAGTATATACTTGCCTGGTTCGATTTCCTATTGGATGCTAAGTGCAAGAACATGTATCCTTGTGAATAGCAATAGGTAAGTCCAAATTAGGGTTCTCAGAGAGAGTGAAAGAGTTACATGGGTTCGGATTAGTTTCCGATTCCAGGCTAGCATTCGAGGTATGGTCGCTTAGAACTTCATGTTGTATCATTTTCTTCCTCTTGGTATACGTCTTCAACTCCTTTTCTGAACAGTACAATATATTATTATATATACATATATGTTTTATATTTATATATATAATTTTTTTAACTTTTGAAAACTTAATCCCCACCGTATGTTATGGACTATGAACAGTGGGGATTGGATTACGCATCTCTCGCTATGTATCTCTATTGAAAGATGAAGTATTCATTAGGGTTTCTCACTTTCTCTGTGAGCTCAACCGACAACCATCCGCCATTGCCCATTGCTCTGCGCCTACGGTTGGGTTTCTCTTTGTGATCTGTGAGCCATCTGCCATTGCGCTGCGATTGGGTTTCACTGTGATCTGTAAACCCATACGCCATTGCTTTATGACTAAGTTGCTCTGTGATCTGTAAACCCATCCATTATTGCTCTGCAGCTAGGTTTCTCTGTGATTGTGATTTGTGAGCCATCCGCCAGTGCTCTGCGATTGGGTCTTGATGACTGTGATCTGTGAGCCATCTGCCAAT